TATATATATATATATAATTATTTAAAATAAACTACAGGACTTTTTGGTTACTCCACTGTGGACTAATTTTTCTCTACATCTTTAGTCATGTGATTTTGTCTTCATACATTAATAGTGTGCCTATTCCCCTGATATACTTAGCTCATTTCTTCCTCGAGCAAGTATAATTAGATAACTCCTCGATTCTAAACTTTTTTGTTTAATCACCCTTAGATAGAGGAGTTCTAGAATCTCTAAATCTGAAGTAGTGGCACCCCAAGTATGGTGGTACTTTATGAGCGATGAACGGAATTGATCGAAGTGAGTTTGATTTGAAATTGACCCTCCCTAATTTTTGGCGGGGTCCTATATTTCACATTTGTTTCATGACTTGTTTTGAACAAGTTAAGCTAAAATCTTACTCCTGAAATTTCCTTGCTAACATGAAGTAACAAAATCCAAAATAAAACAAAAACTCCAAATTCAAAATAAAACAAAAACTCCAAATTCAAAACAAAAAAAAGCTTAAAATTTAAGAAAACACAAAACAAAACAAAGTAAAAAAGAAAAAAATTTAAATTCACAAAAAAATTAAGATAATTTTTTTTTTACTTGGAAAAGTTTTGAAAGAAACACCCAGTCTAAAAAACGAGTCATGAAGTACTATATCTCTTCGAAAATCTCTATGACAGGTATGAAACATTAAACTGAATTGGACAGACACTCCAATATTTGTAAATTTCAAAGAAATGTCTTCTTCTAAGTTGACCTCCTCGTTTATGGATGGATTGAACCTACCTACATATAAAAGCGTCATATTACAAAGACCAACAACCATGTCTCTTTCAGGCTTTAGCAAAATAAAAGTAATTTTTGGAAATGTACCCTTTACAATAATGAAATTAGACACCATAGAGGTCGTAGAACTGTCAGCTGGGTTTAATCTAATGTTTGCTCATAAATTTCTATCACTGAAGTGGGTCCTAAAAGAATAAAAGCACGTTGTTATTAAGCATACAATGAAGTTAATGGATGTTTGTCTTATTGCTTCTACTACACTTTGCCAAATAAGAACTGTTTTCAAGAGATGTGGGCATTAAAAGAAAAAAAAAAGGATATGTTTTCAAGAGATGTGGGCATTAAAAGAAAAAAAAAGGATATAAAAAAAAGAAAAAAAAAAGAAAAAAAAAGAAAACATCAAAAGATATAGAAATTAAAGATCATCTTATTGTAACTCAACAAGAGGGTGAAATCTCCTCCATAACATGCATCCGCTGTCAAGGTCGGGGATGAGGATAAGGGAGACGAAATTCGATCATTTAAAAAGAAAAAAAAAACATGGAGGCCATCAAGTTCTAAAAGGAGTTTGTCACTAACAAGGAATTTAGAGTTTGTGGTGCTTTTTATTAGCCAATTTAACTCCTTTAATGCAAAATGACATGAATAGAGGCGTCTGAACTGAAATTCCATGCTTATGGGTGCCTGGGGGCATGTGTCTCTAAATCTAGGCGCTTGAACACCCAAGACTGACACTTAGATGCCTAGTTCTTTTGATCCAAGCTTTTGCAAACCCATGACCGGGGCCTAGACACCTAGTCCTCTAGGTGCTTAGAGCTAGAGGACCATGTGCCTAGGCCTCTGTATGGCCTAATTCAACCTATTTTGATTTTATTTCATCTCTTTGATCTCCAAGCTACCTAATCATATGTATATTGCATATTCAATAACAAATATCATGGAAAAATATAAAAATGATATAAATAATATTAAACTATCATGCACATTAGATACATATCACAAACGATCATCTTAATCAGAAATTCAAAACTGAATAATGTCTATTCATAGGCTCCACACTAATCTCATTGTTAGTTAAGAAGTAGTAAAAAGTGGATAAACCTTTCACCAAAGCAAAACATAGAGCAATGAAAACAGTGACTATAGAAATTATTTAGTTTAGAAGGTTGGCATTCACCTTTCCTTTCCAACTGTATTCTACTGTGATAACATATCAACACTAGCACATGCAACTAATCCAATAATTCATGTTAGCACAAAACACATAAAAGCTGATTATAATTTAATAAGAGACTCAATTAAATCTAAAACCCTTCAGGTGCAACATGTGGCGTCCCAAGATTTGATACTTAATCAGCTTACAAAAGCACTTCCAACCAAATATTTTGAGGCAAGTTGTACTTCTCACAAGAACCAATAGCTTGAGGGGAGATATCACATTTATAAAAGACACCAAATAAACTAAAATACGAGAAAGTATGATTCCATTCTAATTGACTTTGACAAAATTAGTTACAATAAGTGTTACTCACCTAACAAAATCTACAATTATTTAACAAAATCTAAGCCTCTTCAGTAGATTTTCTCAGTTACATATAACTAGTCCATATAGCTAATGTAATATATGTGTGATACTATACATAATATATAGTACTATATTTCAAATCATTCCTTCTACATTTTCAAGAGCAAATTACTTCCACTTCCACTTCCTCTTTTTTTTTTTTTTTTTGAAAATGAAGATCATTCCTAGATTTTTTCAACAAGAAATAGAGACAGAACTAAAAAAACTATTCAAGCAAGGAAATGCCAACCAAAAACATCTAACAAAACAATAAAAATATAATAGCCTTCATCACATCCTACTATCAAGTAAGGAAATGTCTACAACCAATTGATACAACAAAGTTCCAAAAGAAGCAATGAACAATATGTTTCAATTGAATCTGCAAGGTAGTCCGACCAAAATTGACAACAAAATAACTCCTCTATATATCCAATAATACAAATATATACAAAACTACAGAACAAAGAAACAAAGTGAGCCAAAGAAACTAATCCCCAATGATCTATAAAATAAAAGAGTAAAGGAAATAAAATAAAGCCTCACATCAATATAACAACAAAATGAATAAGTAGAAATAAAGAAATGAGCTAAAAAAACTTACCTGAAAAAACTTTAAATTTTCTTCCAAGCATGTTGAATATATAAAAAAAAATATTTATAAGTATGGTTGAATTTTAATAAACAATAGAAATAATCATAGCTCCACCAAACTTAAACTATAAAGAAATAAAATCAATTAAATATTTGTTCAAATCAACAAAAAAATAATAATAATAAAAAAAAAACATCCAAACACAAAGAGTAAATATCAAGAAGAAAATTTGAACACATCCCAAAAAGGCAAAAATAAAAAAAAAATGAACATTATAAAACTAATAACTAAAATTATAAAGTATATGAGCTTATCAAGCCAAGGAAAAGAACAAAAAATAAAAAAAAACCAAACAAGACCATAAAAGAAAAACCATCAGAAACCAAATCATGCCAAACAAATTAAAATTTTTAATGAATTTTAATATATGCCAAGATGTCACATTTAAATTTCCATCTCCTGCGTTTAATTTTAACATTTCAATGAATATTCTTAGAAATCATATAATAAGGAGTAGAAATATTCCCAAAAGTCCTATTATTTCTTTCAAGTCATATGTAATAAGCAGTGGAATGAACCTCCAGAAGGTAATTTTTTTTCAAAATTCTACAAAAAAATGTACTCAACAAGAAGTATAACTTGAAAAAAAATATTAAAAGTAATTAAAATTTTCTCATTAGGAACACAATCCTTTATTAAGGAATGAGAAAAAAATATTCATAGAAAATATGAGAGGGAAATTCCAAGACATTATAACATAAAACATAACTGAAATCAACATGAATACCTATATTATGAATTAAGTCACAGGTTTTAAGACCAAAATGAAAAAGTTTACATATATGATAGACATATTTGATAACATAAACCTTAAGCCAAATGGGTTTATGCCAATCACAATGACGAAATAATTGATATATATATATAAAAAAAAACTACTTATGCAAATAAACATTAGAATCTTTCCAAAGACGAGTAATTGCTTTAATTATGAGAATATTTTGAATAGCATTAATACGATGAAAAGGAGTAATTCAATTACAGTTAAGAGTCCAATCATTATTCAAAATAATATAAGCAAATCTAGTATATTCACGATAATTAAACTTAGTAAAGATAGAATTTCCAAAACTCACAAAGAGAGAAGCCCCATAAACCAATGATCTTAGTAAAAATAAAGACAACTAGAAGAGATATCTTTAAAATTAAGATAATTTCTGATTTTAAAACCAACTCTAGATAACTCTTTCCAGAAACAAAAGGAATAGATTGGTTATAAACCCAAATAAAACTATAATGTTCGGTCAACCAACCAGCAAGATAAAAATAAGAATTGAACATACTCCAAATAGTCTTAGCTTTGCAAATAAAGTTAATATTGTCAAAAGAGGAAAGGTCGAGACAACCATGACGTTTATGTATATTAATATTATTACAAACAATCATATTCATACTTATGTTATTATCATTTTTATGCAAAATGATCCTAATTAAAGAAAACGTCTTCTCTCTAAATGCTTTTAGCGGAACAAAAGAACGAATCCGATCATAAAAAAAATTAAAACAACATATATAGTTAGTTATAATTTCGGATTTGTAGGAAGTAATTTTCTCTTTTAACCAAACTACAAATATGACTTATTCAGAAGTTTACCACTGTCCACGACTAAAAGTCTAGAAGGCTTAGTGGCAAACCCCAACTAATCACAAGTCAATATTTTATACGGAATACCACTATTATGATATAATGTATGCTAAGTAAAAAAACTGATACTGTAAATTTTACCATGAAGACAAATCAAATTTTATTCTTTTTCTCCTTCAATGCTTCTAACCCCTACTGTCCTTCCACTTCCTTTTCGATCTAACCCACCGTTTCCAGCTCAACACAAAAAACGTTACATCGGCTCTTATTGTTCGCGGATCTGCGACCATCGTTCCACGTTTTGTTGGGTATTATGTATACTTACAGGACTACCCCGCAATCTGAACATAAATACATCCGTATACATCTGTTCTCAGACTTCCCTTCTATGTTTACTCTACCAGTCCAACCCACCGCTTCATCCCTTCCCATTCCCAAATCGTGGCTCCTGAACCCTTGCCCCATTTCTATGTCAAAACTAGACTTTCGCTATTACGGCCGCGTCACGTAGATTTCCGCTCTCGGATCAGTGGTTACGGTCGCTTCTGCATCCGATTCAGTCATTCGCTGATATTGCCCTATTGTGTGAGGAATTGAACAATCGGAGAGGCTAGGGTTTGAAGGGATGGGGGGTAATACGTAAGCGATGCCGCTTGAAGCGCGGAGGGACCAGAGTCGGCGGAATCAGGTTGTAGTGCCAGGAAGGCCGATAACAAGGGTGACAAGGAGGATTGGGCTGAGTAACTGCAATCCTTGTCTTGAGAAGGTGCTGATTGAGGCTAAAGAAGAGATCGGTCTTCTTGAAGGTGTGGGAGAGGTCGGGGAGATCGAGGAAGAGGTAAGAGAGAGGAAAATGAATGAGTTTGACAGCGGTGCGAGGAGCGCTGATAAGGTCCCTGGAGCGGAAGAAGAGGGGACCACGGCGCCACTGCCCGAGAAGGTTAGCTTTCGCTCGTTTTGCATTTTTTTTTTCTTGTTTGAGATTGAAGCTGTTATTGTTAGGCCAATGTCCCCTTAAAGATACAAACTGTGAGCTGTCTCGTTATAAGGGTTCCCTTTGCAACTTTTTAATCTTCATAGACCCCTCTTTTGATATGCATGCCTGGGTTTTTTAGTGCATTTCTTTTGGTTTAATCACTAATGGGTCTGCTCATGATGTTCGGGTATGTTTTGAATCGATTTTGGGGTATGGTTTGATTTTATGATAGGTTTGTTCCTTTGGGTAAGACAAGCTCAGAAACTGTTGTTTGTTCTCATCATTCTTTTTTACAAGTGTGAAGAGCTGAATACGTACTGCTTTCTAAGTTGCCCACTTATGTTGGCCTATGTTCCCGTTTTGTTACAGGATATTTTCTATATCTTTTCACCCTCATGTCAATGCTTATAAAATGCAATTTTGTGAAGGTGGCTATGCCAATTGGAAACTTGATCTTGAAATATCTGCGGCATTTTACTGTTAAAGGTTTCTCATCGCTTTCTCTTAACTATTATTTCTTATAATGTAACAGTATTATATCATTTTGTTTTATTCAACGTGCGCATTCAAAGTGTATAGACTGCTTTACCATCCCAGGAAGTTTGATTCACTTTCTCTCTGTGTTTCATTCATCTACATGATAACCTTTGTTATCTAGAAATGCTTTGCTTCCTACAGGTCCAAGTGGGAAACTCACCGGTATATAAAATTGAAAGGAAGCTTGGGAAGGGGGGATTTGGGCAAGTATATGTTGGGCGCCGTGTATCTGGCACCATTTCAAATGATAGAACTAGTGGTTCTAATGCTGTTGAGGTAGGTTTCTTTATGGTGGTTCTTGTTTTTATAAATTATTAAACCATAAGCTCTGTTTCAAACATTTAAAAAAACTTTGTGAAATTTTGCTTTTTAGGTGGCTCTCAAATTTGAGCATAGAAACAGCAAAGGATGCAACTTTGGACCCCCATATGAATGGCAAGTTTACAAGTGAGTGGTCTTTGCTCTGTTTCCTTTAAGTTACTGCTTTACAAATTTGGTATCCATCAATTATTTTTATTTGCGGTGTTATATATATTGATTTAAATACTCTTAGTTTTGATTGATCTCCTCTATTTATGCTATTTATGTAGTGTTCTTGGCGGTAATCATGGTGTTCCCCGTGTACATTATAAGGGGCGTCAGGGAGACTACTATGTTATGGTATTTAAAATATTCAATAAGCTTACTCGAGTTTTTTTTAAGCACACTTGCACAGTAATGTGACAATTATGCAGGTTATGGATATGCTTGGACCAAGTTTATGGGATGTCTGGAATAACAGTTCTCACACGTGAGTTATCAAATGCTTATACAAAATCACTTTCAAGCTCTCCCTCTAACAATACTTTTAATCATTTGTGATACTTATAGGATGTCCATTGAAATGGTTGCTTGTATTGCCATTGAAGCAATCTCTATTCTAGAGAAGATGCACTCGAAAGGGTTGGTTAATCTCTTTCCATGCCTTTTAGATACATTTATCAATTTCTTCTAGTAATGATTTGTTGTTTCCTGCATTTTCATCTTAATGATACACCAAATTTATGATAGGTATGTACACGGGGATGTGAAGCCTGAGAATTTTTTGCTTGGCCCTCCTGGCACATTGGAAGAGAAGAAACTCTTCCTTGTTGATCTTGGTTTAGGTATTAAACTTTTGCTTTTGTTTCCCTTTTTGAACATGATTTGTTTTACTTTATTACTTATTCTGTTTTATGTGGTCATCTTAATTTCATATATTTTCAAAAACAGTGGAAAAATATAAGAGGGCTTATTCTTATTGATGCAAAGAAGAGTATAAATACTCATTACATGACTTACTGGTAAGAAGTAAAACAATAAAATCAGAATATCTTTGACAAGAAAAGGAATAATAACAAATATAAGAGGCAAATAATCTCTTTAATTAAGGAGAGAAATAAATAGAGATTCCTAAGATCCCTCATATAATTTATAATATTCTAAATATAGAGTTACAACAAATATGAAATATAATCATAATTATTTACGAGATCTTTCAACACTCCCCCTCAAGCTGGCATGAAGATGTCACTCATAGCAAGCTTGTTTACTAGATTCTTGTGTTGCACTTTGGAAAGGCCTTTTGTTAGAATATCTGAAGTTTGGCTAGCAGTGGGTATGTAGGATATGTATCCACTATCTATCTTCTCCTTGATGAAATGTTTGTCAGCTTCTACATGTTTTGTTCTGTCATGTAGAACTGGATTATGAGCTATAGAGATTGCAGCCTTGTTGTTGCATTAAACTTTAATAGGTGCTAGTATAGGAATCTTCAACTCTTCCAAGAGTCTTTTTATCCATAATACTTAATAGAGTCAATGTGCCACCGAGCTGAATTTTGCTTCAGCACTACTTACTACCACACTTTGTTTTTTACTTTTCCAAGTGACAAGGTTTTTTCCTACAAAGGTAGAATAACCTGATTTGGATCTTCTATCATTTATATCTCCTGCCCAATCTGCATCTATGTAGGCCTCTATTAGAAGATGTTTTCCCTTTTTGAACAAAAGTCATTTTCCAGGAGTTCTTTTGAGATATCTCAAAATTCTGAATACAGCTTCGAAGTGAGTAGGTCCATGAGAATACATGAATTGACTCACAACACTCACTGCAAAGGCTATGTCAGGTCGAGTGTGAGCCAAATAGATTAGTCACCCTACCAATCTTTAATAGCGTGCTTTGTCCATTATTACATTAGATGCTGCTGTTTTCAACTTTATATTAGGTTCAATTGGCGTATCTACTGCCTTGCAACCTGTCATTCCTGTTTCAATGAGTAAATCAAGTACATACTTGCGTTGATTGACAAAAATTCCCTACTTGGATCTTGCAAACTCCATTACAAGGAAAAATTTCAGTTTTCCCAAGTCCTTAATATCAAATTCGGCTTCAAGTTTCCTCTTCAAGTTGCTAATCTTCAGAGGATCATCCCTTGTAATGATTATGTCATCTACATGCACAATCACAATGGCTACTTTACCTTTGATGGAATGTTTGTAAAAAAGAGTGCGATCAGCTTGGCTTTGAGAGAATCCATATCTCTTGATAACATCACCAAAACGCTCAAACCAAACTCTAGGAGATTGCTTCAACCCGTACAGGGACTTTTTTAAATTGCATAGTTTACCTTTTCCATGTTTTTCTTCAAATCCGGGTGGTAGGTCCATATATACTTCTTCTCGCAATTCTCCATTTAAAAATACATTTTTTTACATCAAATTGATGAAGTGGCCAGTTGAAGTTAACTGCAAGAGAAAGAAGTACTCTAATAGAGTTGATTTTAGCAACAGGAGCAAAAGTCTCTTGGTAATCAATACCATGAGTTTGAGTAAATCCTTTTGCTAATAGTCTCGTTTTGTATCTCTCCAGACTTCCATCAGCTTTAAACTTCACCGTGAACACCCATTTGCACCCAAACGTCTTTTTGTCTTTAGGTAGATCAATGTCTGTCCAATTGTTATTTCTTTTAAGAGCATTTATTTCTTTCATCACAGCTAATTTCCAACTTGGTTCACCTAATGCTTCCTGAACAGTTGTTGGAACAAGCATATTAGAAATCATATGTACAAATGCTCTATGATTTTTTGATAGTTTTTTATATGACAAGTATTGTGTGATAGGATGTTTCGTGCTCGTTTGGATTCCTTTTCTGAAAGCAATTGGAAGATCAAGATCAAAAGGAGTGGAAGTAGCGGGAAGATTACTTGGAGTTGTAGGGTCATTATTCGGCAGAGGTGATTGTACATTTGCTGAGAGAATAACTGGGATTGTAGTAACTTTATGAAATTTTTTTTTAGTATAAACCTGCAGCTCATGTTGAGTATTATGATCCGTTGGAAGTACTTCTCCCCCTGTCTCCGATAAGGTAACATATGACAAAAATTGATTAGTAGTGCTGATTCTAGTTTCCATATCAGAATTAATTAAAGGAATGTATAAAGTTTCCCAAAAATTATTTTCTTCAACTTTGTTCTCCCCCTGAAGAAAATTATTTTGAAAAAAAGGGTGATCCTCGACAAACTTAACATCCATGCTCTCAAAAAATTTCTTTTTTACAGGGTGAAAGCATTTGTACCCACGTTTATTGGAGGCATACCCAATAAAAATACATTTTTCAGCTTTGGAATCAAGTTTTGAGCGAAACAAATTTGGGACATGAACATAGCAAACACATCCAAAAACTTTTAAAGGGAGATCATCTGTTATTTTAAACGTGGAAAAATAATTTTTTAAAACTTGTAAAGGTGTTTTAAATTTCAGAACTCGAGATGACATTCTGTTTATTAAATAACAGGAGGTAATGAGTGCATTACCTCAAAGATATTTATGAACATTCATGGAAAACATAAGTGCTGTTAACTTCAAGTAAATGTCTATTTTTCCTTTCAGCAATACCATTTTGTTGTGGTGTGTCACGACAAGTGGATTGATGCAGAATATCTTTTTTTAAAATAAATGTTCTCAAATATTTGTTAAAATATTCAGTCCCATTATCCGTTTTTAGAATGCCAATTTTTGTTTGAAATTGATTTTCAATCATGTGAAAAAAAATCTTTAAATCGTTGTTCAACTTTAGATTTCTTTTCCAATAAATACACCCATCAAACTCGTGTGTGATATTCAATAAGTGTTACAAATCATTTTTTTTCAAAAAGTGTGTTAACTTTGGATGACCCCAAACATCACTATGCACCAAATAAAATAATTTTGAAGCAGAATATGGTTTTGTTGGAAACGAAACACGATAACTTTTAGATAAATTACACGCTTTACAATGAAGGTTTAAACAATCAATACTTTTAAATAGTTTAAGAAATAAAGATTTGAGATATGGAAAACTAGTATGCCCTAATCTCTTATGCCATAATATAACTTGATCATAGTCAAAGCTTGAACTTGTACTATCTAATCCATGAGCTGTTTTATTCGGATAATCAGTTCCATCATAATAATACAACTCATTTATTGCTCTAGCAGTTCCAATCATCTTCCCCGAGTTCCAGTCCTGGAAAACACAACTAGAAAGAAAAAAAATAGAATAATCAGAATTTTTAGGCAATTTGCTGACAGAAAGAAGATTACATGTAAGTTTTGGAACATGTAAGACATATTTCAAAGACATTTTTTTTGAAATTTTAATATTTCCTTTTCCTGTAATAGGTGAAGAAATGTCATCAGCTGTTCTGATTTTTTCAAAACCGGAACATGGATAATATGAAACAAATAATTGAGAACAGCTTGTTATATGATTTAATGCTTCTGAATTGATGATCCAAGGAGTGGTACTTCCTAGAACAGATAAAGGCAAAAGATCACTATCTGTTTGTGCTATAAAACCGATAGGAGCATTTGATGATAAGCAGGATTTCAACAGTTTAAGAAGATGACTTAATTGCTCTTTACTAATTTGGGATGACTCAGCCTCATTTGCTGTAGGTGTGCTATGTTCACCAGGTTTTTTTCTCTTACCATGGGTTCTTTACCATGCAACATCCAACATTCTTCACGAGTATGGCGTGGTTTTCCACAGTAGTCACATCGTAGGCTATTTTTGTCCTCTACATGCTGGTTATGAGAAGTCTTCCTGCTTACTTGAGCTTCAGGAATAGCCAACGCTGATCCTTCCACGGACACGGTTGAACCTGTAGTCTTCTTCCCCAACATCACATGTCTTCGACTCTCTTCTCTCCTTACCTCCACAAAAATTTCACCAATTAGAGGCAGGGGATTTCTTCCAATTATTCGACCACGGACCTCATCATGTTCAACGTTTAGTCCTGTAAGAAATTTGAAGATTCGGCCAATATCCACTATCTTTTTATACTGGTTGCAATCATCGTTTGATTTTCACTCATGATCGTTGAATAAGTCCGGTTCCTGACAAATTTGCTTAAGAGAATTGAAATATTTTGTCACAGAATCTTCATCTTGGCAAATTTCCCCAAGTCGTAGAGTTAACTCGTAAATTTGGGATTGATTTCCAAGATCAGAGTGCATTTTTGAAACATTGTTCCATAATTCCTTTGCTGTAGAGTAACAAAGATAATTTACACTTATCTCTTCAGTCATGGAATTGACCATCCATGTCATTACCATTGAGTTTTCCGCATCCCAAATGGCATAAATTTTGTTATTCACGTCAGATTGTTTAGTATCACCTTTGATATAGTCAATTTTTCATCTTCATCGGAGATACATGCGAACATATTGTGACCATCGAAGAAAATTATCACCATTTAGTCGAATTGTAGTGATCTGAATGGGATGATTTTCAGATGTATTTCTTTGAGGTTCGGACTGATATGGCTGAAGAGGCTGGCTTGTCCTAGACATGACTTCAGACATTTTTAGAGATGACTCGAGCCCAAGATTGGGCCCTCGAAGCAAAAATTACAGTTTTCGGAGAATTATCGCCTTCGCGAGACGGGAAGAAAAGGGAAGACGTCACAAAGGATCGGACGCTCTCTATCGGAGAAAACAGAGCTCCAAGGTCGAGAGAAGCAGACGAAGCAGTGGTCGAACAGGTTCAGCGGCCAGCGGTAGTCGAGCTGTCGAGCGAACGGTTTGTGCTCTTTGGGTGAACAGCTCGAGATCGAGCGATACAGAGGCGTTGAATAGTGATCGAGATCGAACAACTCGAGATCGAGCGACACAGAGGCGTCGAACAACGATGGAGATCGAACAGAACTCCAAGATCGAAGAGATCGAACAACTCGAGATTGAGCGGCACAGAGGCGTCGAACAACGATTGAGAACGAACAGAGCTCCAAGATCGAACAGATCACAGGCGAACAACTACTCGAGCTCTCTTGACGACACAGACGGCTACAAAAATTCAGATCCTAAATATGACATGTCTCTGATACCATGAAAATAGTGGAAAAATATAAGAGGGCTTATTCTTATTCATGCAAAGAGAGGTATAAATACCCATTGCAGGGCTTACTGGTAAGGAAAACAATAAAAACAGAATATAATAGACAAGGAAATGTATAATAACAAATATAAGGGGCAACTAATCTTTCTAATTAAGGAGATCTTAGGGGCAACTAATCTTTCTAATTAAGGAGAGAAATAAATAGAGATTCCTAAGATCCCTCATGTAATTTATAACCCTCTAAATATAGAGCTACAACAAATATGAAATATAATCATAATTATTTACGATATCTTTCAACAATTTTAAATCTTTTTTTTTTTTTTTCAGCCACAAAGTGGAAAGATGGCACTACATGTCAGCATGTTGAGTATGACCAGAGGCCTGATGTTTTTAGGTAAGTTAGTCAGCACTGCTGCTTATCCAACTTTTAATTTATTTTTATTTTGAAGTGTTGCACTTCTAACAACATCACATTTTATATGAAGTATGTTATTCTTCTTCATCCACTGCTGCTTTTTTAGGGGAACTGTACGCTATGCTAGTGTGCATGCTCACTTGGGAAGAACTGGAAGTAGGAGGGATGATTTAGAATCCCTTGCTTATACACTTATATTTCTTCTTCGTGGCCGTTTACCTTGGCAGGGATATCAGGTTCTTTTGGTTTACACTTCACTGTTAATATTACAGCTGTTTCCATTTTTTCATTTATCACATTCTTATTTTTTATTTTCAGGGAGATAACAAAGGTTTCCTTGTTTGCAAGAAAAAAATGGCTACTTCTCCGGAAGCTCTCTGTTGCTTTTGTCCCCAGCCGTTTAAACAATTTGTTGAATATGTAGTCAACCTGAAGTTTGATGAAGAGCCAAATTATGCCAAGTGCATTTCACTTTTTGATGGCATAATAGGTCCAAATCCTGATTATAGGCCAATAAATACAGATGGTGCTCAAAAGGTATCTTGATGTCCTTTAATTTTTTAATAGTTCCCATTTAAGTCTATTCTAATTTTCATCCTTTTGTGAAGCTCATTTATCAAGTTGGCCAAAAGAGAGGTCGGCTGATGATGGAAGAAGTGGAAGATGAACAACCAAGAAAGAAGGTCCGAATGGGGATGCCTGCAACTCAATGGGTTAGTATCTATAATGCCAGACGTCCAATGAAACAGAGGTTTGTGTTGCTGATCTTGCATTTTATTTAGTCAGGCGAATTTTCTGAAAGTTGATTTTATTATTTGCGTTATGCTTTTCTAGGTATCATTATAATGTTGCTGATGCTAGGCTTGCGCAACATATCGAGAAAGGAAATGAGGATGGTTTATTTATTAGTTCTGTAGCTGCTTGCACCACTCTATGGGCACTAATCATGGATGCTGGAACTGGTTTCACTGCTCAAGTTTATGAGCTATCACCGCACTTTCTACACAAAGTTAGTATATTGAAAGTTTTTTTATTTTGCTTGTCATAACTCTGTACTGGTTTTACCGTGTTTCAGCTTCGTGTTTCGGCTATAGCAATTATGATACTGTCCTAAGCTTCTACTTGCTTATTATACTTGTGTAGTCACTGCAAGGAATTATTTTTGTTCAGTATTGTTGTGTTGCTTTTTTATTATGAAGGAATGGATAATGGAGCAGTGGGAGAAAAACTATTATATCAGTGCATTAGCTGGAGCAAACAATGGCAGCTCTTTGGTAGTGATGTCCAAAGGTAAATTTCCTTATGTTCCATAATATTTGCTTCGATCTGTTCATACTTCTCATTGCTCTGCGGTTTCACTCTAGGTACACAATATGCACAACAATCTTACAAAGTCAGTGATTCATTTCCTTTCAAGTGGATAAACAAAAAGTGGAAGGAGGGCTTTTATGTTACTTCCATGGCTACTGCTGGAACTAAATGGGCTGTAGTGATGTCCCGGAATGCAGGTTTCTTAGATCAGGTTAATTATGCTTTTTTATTTCTTTCGTTTTTTTTCCTTTCACTTTACATATGTAGGGGGTCAGCACATGTATGAAACAAATGTATATTCAGCATGGGTTTGTGCTGATTAAAGAATAGTTCATCTGTGTTATTGGCTAGTTTTGGTTAAGATATACTTATTTTTATGCATTATTGACAGGTTGTTGAGCTTGATTTTCTCTACCCGAGTGAAGGAATTCATCGTCGATGGGATAATGGTTACCGTATAACAGCCATTGCCTCAACGTGGGAACAAGCTGCATTTGTCCTAAGTGTACCAAGAAGAAAACCTACTGATGAAACACAAGAGACATTGAGGACATCTGCTTTTCCCAGTCAACATGTAAAGGTGAATCCACCTATTTCCATCCTTCTCCACATAAAAAATGTTCTTGCAATAGAAAAGGAATCTCTTCCATTATCATGTTTTCTTTACTTGATTTCAATATGTTATCTCCTTAATGTAACTTGAAAGAATTGTTTTATTTCAGGAAAAGTGGGCAAAAAACTTGTACATTGCAGCTATTTGTTATGGAAGAACAGTTTCCTGAAACCTTTCCGTGATTGATTTGGAGTTGTGCTTGCCCATTTGGTGACGGACTTTTTAAATATGTTTGCCTTGCAGATTATGCGGAATGATTTTTGTTTGTGAATTTTTATGGGCAAGCTTCTTTGCTTGTTACTTCCCACATCTTCTTCAATTAACTGATGATGTGTTATTGATGCCTAATCACGGACTTGCCCTTGCACAATTTCCTAGCTTTACTGTGCATAATGGGCATTTTGTAAGAATCGAGCTTCTTATGCGCAATTTCCTAATCGTGGACTTGCCAATGCACAATTTCCTAGTTTTACTGTGCATAAGGGGCATTTTGTAAAATCGTTAAGCTTGTATAGTGAAGTATGTATTTAATATTATACATGGAATTGAAGCATTTCTGTTAATGTATTTAATTCATTAGAGTTCATTTTTCTTAAACAAGTTATCTTTACTGCTTTATCCTTTTTTAATTGTGGCATTTTGCTATGCTTACCACTTTTCTACTCCACCTTTTAAGGCATTTGTTATTTATTGATGCAGCTTTATTTTCATATAGGAGCCTTTTTCTTATTTTGTTCATGAAATCTCCTATGTAGCAGTTTCTATGTATTGCACATTTTAATTTGATTAATTTATACTTACCTTAAAATCTCATGATGTGTGATCATCACCACTTGGTGTGCTAAGAGGCTCATTTTCATACGTGTTTTATTTGCTGTTATGTTTGTTGCGACTATTAATCCTCATAGGTTTTAATTTTGCGGGTTCAATTTTTGTTAAATCATGATATTGTTGACTTTTCTATTTGGTGTAATTTTTTAATCAATCTTATATGGGCTATGAAAGTCGTATAATCTTTGGAGAGATCTTGTGGTTATTTTGGATTTTGCAAAAATCGTTAAGCTAATTGTTTACCCTATATGCAGCAATTATTTTGTTCATGAAATCTCCTCTGATAGGAGGGAGCTTGTGTTTGCAGGAAGTATACTATTGTCCTTTGTTAAGTGAATAACATCAGTGCCTTCTCCTTTGGTTCTTGGCTTCTACAGTTGCTAGAAGCAAAATCTGTTTAGTCAAAATCCATTTCAATAAGTGGCTCATCTCTTTAGACTCTATTATGACGGCTCCTAAGGGCAATTTAGTCTCAATTAGCCTAAGCACAATTTAGTCATTTGTCATCTATGATTGTTTAATATAAATAAGACTAATATGTTTAGGGTTAGGTTTATGCATGAGATTGTCTTGTATCATAGGTTTGGGTTTGGGAGAGCTGGCTTGCATCTTAAATTGTTGGTTTTTATCCTTTATATGCTGTGTTGTTTTTGTTATTGTAGAAAGTTTTTGGTTTTCTTCAATTTTTGTGTGGAACTCTGTGCCGATTCCTATCAAATTGATATCAGAGTATTTAGTTACGGGAAACAAAGAAGAAGGATTGGACATGCCCTAGTTTCGATCAGAGAGCTAGAGTTTCTACTAATAAGCAATCAAAGGAAGGATTGCTGCATACAGGGTAAACAATCACAATTTCATGAAGCAGCAAACGAGATCGTGGTAATCTAAGCCATTCTTTTTTGAGCATTGATCGTGTCTGGAGGGGATAGAATCTACTTACTCCCTAACTTGTCGAAACATTGATGGGATTTTGGCGTATGGTGATCTCAGATAGCGACATAGCTGAGGATTTGACGGGATCCTAGCTTTTCTTGTTTCCTTCACGGTTCATAGATGTGACAAGCTGTGAAGCTAGCAACGACGGTTTGACTTTTTAGTCTTAGGGAATACTGCAGCATGATTCTTGAACGACGCATGATCGTGGATTAAAGCCACATGCCTCAACCTTGTGATATTGTGGCATTTTTTGTAGGGAGGCTAAGGATGACAGGTTCATGGGGTATAGATCCACTCTTCTGTGAGTTAGCAATGCCATAAAATTGGCTGGACCGTACGCCTTGGTGTCAGACCCGATAGTCAAAATTTGAGCTAGCTTGAAGCCAACATATAGAATGCAACATCCAGGAATTTCACATTCGTGATCGAAAATCACTTGAGTAGGGGTAAAAAAATAGAGCTTATGGAGAAGCAATTAAAGGAAGATGCGAGCCAATTCAAATCTGAAATTGAGGAGCCTTTCTAGTCAATATAGGGGCAGCTCGAGAGGAAATTCATGGCCCTGGAAGAAATGATCATGGAGTTTCACATAAAACCACTTACAACCACCACAGGATCAAGCAATGTTGTCAGGAATGGATGCCAGCAACAACAAACAAAATAATTTACACGACATTATGGCAGCATCGCAACTTTAGGCGGATCAGTAGCTGCGGTATCAAATGAAGGAATCAGAATAGATTCGAGGGACATTTGGAGGGAATTGCAGACATCGTGAGGTTTGGAATGACCGAAAACAAGCAGATCAGAACGACATGTAAATCGGGAGTGGAGAAGATTGCTTCGAAGAATTTTGGTCTAGGATTGGGAACCAAGGTGGTAGGGACTTTGGTGGAGGGCCGAATCCGACAGTGCCTATGCCTTCTGCTGCTAAAGCCTTTTTGGCGGAAAGCGATTTAGAAGTAATGATGGGAATGAGACAGGTGAAGAAGGGGGAGTTGTAAGGGACTGATTGGGATACTGCAAAGTATTCAGGAGGGTGACAAGAAGGTAGTGCTTCGAGGTGACCCCAATTGGTGCAAGACGTCGGTAAAGTTGAAGACTATGATGAGGGCGATTCAGAACGCAGAGCTGAGATTCTTGATCAAGTTCTATATCATGAAAGAGACACATGATACAGATTTGGCAGAGATTTTGGTGATTTATAAGCTATTGAGTGAGTTGTTTGGGGCGGCGATATTCTCCACTATTGACTTTAAATCAGAATGTCATCAGATTCAAATGCGATCGAAGAATGTGCATAAGATGACATTTAAAGTTGATGAGGGTCACTATGAGTTTTTGATTAAGCAGAAACGATTGTCGGGTTATGACGCCACATGGGGAGCCTTACAACTTGATCCAACAACAGTTTTTTCAACCTTAAGGATACGCCTTTTTGGGAGGGGGTAATGTTATTACGGCGCCTTGGTGACCTCATTTTTGTGAGGTCTTAGTCTCCTACTCCCAGAACCCATAATCTAGCCTTAGGAGTTCCTGGTTGACCATCCTAGCGGACTAGTAATGGAGCCCACCTCCCGTAGAACTTCAAACCACTTCTTGACTCATTTTTGTGAAGAACTCGCATGAGTGTTTCCAAGTACTCAACTTTTAGTTGCAAGGGCTAAGGACCAACATGTAGAGGGCCCGAAATTGAGTTCCTATAGGATCAACAGCCTTAGGTGAACCCTTTATGACTCAATTACTCGCAAACGCCGCGTTTCACGCACTCACTGCATCACACACAATTTTGGCTTAAATCGACTCGCCCGTTGGCGAACTTGTCCAGACGAACCCGGATGACGAAACGGACCGCGCCGAAGCGTCCGGAACGTCAACTTTAGCCAGAAAGGACACCCATATTGCTAGGGTTACACACGCGAGCGACTAGCACGAAAATCGATGCACCTTTTTGGCGGTGCGCGGGTCCGGGCTCAGCCCAAGTTTGACCTCGGGTTTGATTCAGGATGGACTCGGGCTAAACACGCGCTAGGCACCAGCTTACCTGAATTTGAAATTCAAATTTTAAAATTTAAATGAATTATTTAAATTTTTATCTTAATTAAAATTAATTCAGGTAATAATAACCTCCCATTTAATCCTCCCCTGCATTTGGAAATTATTAATTTCCCCGCCAATTGCTTCCACAGTAACGACTATTGGCCCCCCCGCTCCAATTCTAAAAGGAAGGAATCGCTTCTTCCTTCGCGGTCTTCCTCTGCCATTCCCGAACGCCTGCTCCTGCTTCTGCTCGATATCGGTCGACAGAGACCCTCGCCTCCCTGCTTGCACTCGATTGAAGACTCCCCCCC